TGGGTGATTCACTTTGGGCTTCTTGCCTTTCAGGATCATATCCTACTAGCTCACATTAATTTCTTCTCCTAATATGCAGTATAATCCACTCATTTGGTACATGGGAGACAAAATCAATCACTCCTTCCCCCCTCACATCTGTTAGTACATTAATCTGGCCAGTATCCACCTGCTTTGGACAAATAATTATATATGTGACTACTGTAGTTGTCCAGACAACCTCCCATGATACTTCCTACTCTTTTATTTCAGCAAGGAGGTCCCCAATGCCTCTGCAACAGGTACGCTTTCCTTATTCCGGAAATTTCCGGATTTATTGATGGGGACAATGGCATCGCTCTGGCACACTCTGTACCTCATCCATCCTTTTGTTGGAGCTCAGAATATGTTACCATAATGTTCCAGAGTGTCCTGAAAAAGTCCGAACAAATCATATGCAGAATTGAATATTCTATGAACAATGTTGTCCTTCTGCCAGCCAATTTGGCAAACACAGACACTCCCCCTTGAATTCAGGTCTGTCTACTCCCTCTAAAATCATGGAAAAATGTGTTTTGAATAGGGAATATAATGATAGTCTTGAAATACTATGGTCCCCCAAAGGTATGGAAGATCTATGAGAGAGGGTAACCAAAGACATGGTTAGGAAACATAATTAGCTATAGCAAACCTGATGATCACTCATCAATGGTCTTTCCCTGGCGCATTTTTGAGCCTCCTGCTTTCCACATTGACTCTATCATCCTGAAACTTTTGGGGAATGACATGGCACATCTGTACGAGCTTTCTGTAGTGTCTGATTAAATAATTATGTCTCTGATCCTTCTGAAATGGTCAATCAGTGTGAGTTTGCTGTTATCTCAGTGGTCTGAAATGTGTTCTTGGGGGTATCTATATTTGAAAGGCCATTCTTCCTGAGTATGGGGAACACATTTTCTTCAGGATCGGCCAGGACTTGAGCCCAGGAGAGGTGAAACACTAGGAGGGAACCAAGGAAAACAGGAATATGTGTCCTGCAATTGTGGATTTGTATATTTTGAGACATGGGCCTACAGGTGAGTACTCAACAATATACTAAAGAGTTTCAAATATGTATCAGAGTTCCAGGAAGTACAGGGAGGGAGAATTTTCAGTGCGCATTTTCGATTTTGGAGGGGGAGGAGAAGGGTGGAATAGAAAAGGCTGTAAGGTAGATATAACCAAAGAAAAGTGACAGTTCAATGGGTTTAATGCAGGGGAGCATATATGACCAGTTATCTGGGTGCGAAAGGGGGATTTTGAGGAGGGTAATGGTGCGCATTTTGGTGTTTTTGTGAAAAATCAGTAATTTCAGTGTACAGCCATGAATACTGCACGCGAGGCCATGTAAAATATGTCTTCTGAAAGCCCTATATGTCCCCTACCAAACTGCCAAGGTGTCCCGAGGGTCTGCTCCCTGCAAGGGGTAGAGAATCCAGTGCGCTTTTATGCTATTTTTTTAGCGAATTTCACTGTTTAGGCAATTATGCACGCAGTTTTGCAGGTAATGCTGATATTCTTTGGCCAATAGGACTCGATAACATGCTTGTTCATGAACAAACACCTGTCCCAGCCAGGGGATGCATGGGAGGGGGCCCAGTGAGGCCGCATTTTCACATTTTCGAGGTGCAGGGCATTAATTGGGCTGTGCAGCCACCAAGTATGGTCAGAATCTCACGTTTGAGGGGTCTACGGAAAGCTACAATTATCCTACGATTTATGGTATTTTTTTATTCAAGAGAATCGGCCCAGAAATGAGCAAAATACGCCAGGATTACTGCCAGCAGCACCTGGAAATGAACCACCTTCCAAATGGGGAATTTCCATCATGCGCACCTGTGCCATGTCATCCATGTGTCCCCCTCCCAATCCAGCCTATTTCCGGCCCCTGTCAGTGGGGGAAATGGTCAGGGAATGTGCAGAATAATGAGGAGACCCCATATCCGCTTTTTCCCTGCCCAAAATGGTGCCAAATGCCCCGAGAACAAGGGCAAACAGTGTCCAGGCACTGTTTCCTGCATTGTTTGGCTATGTTGACATGTCCTGCACACATGGAGCAGCCCCGGGAGCCACAGAAACCCTTCCACATTGTCTCAGGCTAGGGGGGACTTAGTGTTGCCACGGTCCCGTCCAAAGACCGCGGACTGTTGGAACCAAACTGCAAATGGAACCGATGAGACCGAACCGTAAGGACCATGAGACCGAAATGTGGGTTTGGTCCAGGATCAAAAGGGTTTTACCAAAAGAGGAAGCACGTCATTTTTAAAAATTTCCTGGAGATGTTGTCATGTCTGAGGGGATTCTAGGACAGATAGAATGAAATTAAGCTGTGTAGATGCACCCAATAACTATATGGCTGCATCTGGGACCTGTGGACTGCATAGAGCTAATGGGATATATTTTTGTCACATTTCACTGTCACAAAGTCACGCAAAAGTTCCTTTAGACAGAGCAGCATATAAATTGACCAAAAGTTGCTCCAGAAGCTTATTAATGACCTTAAAAAGTAATTATTGATCCTTTTTTCCATCTCAGATTGACAAAAGTGTGAAGAGGGCATTTTAATATTCCATATATGGAGCAAACCGATTAACGGACGGTCCCAAAGGGTCCGATTCGGTCTGGAAACCAATGACATCATGAAACCGCACAGGGACCAGACTGGACCGGACCAAATCGGACCGTGGCAACACTAGGGGGACTGCATTATGGCAGTCAGGACTGATCCTGTCGCACTGTGTAGACACAGTATTTGATATAGAATTCTAGCTTATAGAAGTGACAATGTGTCTACAATGTTGCCAACCGCAACTCATTATGGCACCATGATGGGCAGCATGGTACGTGTTGAATTTAACTGTCTGTTCTTTTGTGCTTAGTTTCTGCATAGGATTCATTTGCTGGAAGATTGTTTTCCATGCATTTGTGGATGGCTACTTGCAGCTTGTAACCAGCATTTGTGCAAGCAACAACAACCAGGCACAAACTGTCCTTGACCTATTTCTTGCTGCCATACATGAGCATGGAATACCTAGTCGCGTTCATGGGGACACAGGGACTGAGAATGTACTTGTATGGGCATACATGGAAAATCTCCATGGACCTGGGTGGGGATCCTACATCATTGGGAGGTATGCATTGTTTCTTTGTCTATACCGGCTTTCATTGAAAATGTGCTGGAGTGTGCACAATGTGCAAATAGAACAACTTTGGCGCAACCTTACAGCAGGCTTTGGAGCAAAGTGGAAACTCTTTTTCCAGCAGCTTGAAGTGCATGACCATCTCGATCCCGACCTTGACTTGCACATCTGGCTCCTCCACTTCCTTTTCCTTGACACCATCGACCAGGACACCATTGACTGGGCAAATGCTTAGAATGACCATGCTCTAGCACAACGTGATAATCAACAGGCAAGTCCCTGTCATATGTTCTTTTTTGGTAGCCTTCAAAATGGTGTGCATGGTGCTATCGTTGAGGATGATGTTGAGGACCCCGATGCATATGGTATTGACTGGGATGACTATGAGGATCCGAATATTCAAGCCCATCATGACACCCATAATCCTGTTGTTGAGGGAGACTAGGTACAGCTCCTGTGCATGCCGTCGTGGTGGGCTTTCCTTTTCTTTCTTTCCCTCAATGCCTTGGCACCACCATACCTTACACCATCTCCTACCTTATCTACATCCACCTGCAGTTGACTGCTATTTGATTTTACTATTCTTATTTATACCTGACCTGACAGCCCCGCCACCTCAGTCATTCACATCGTGCAACGTCTGAGGCGAGCTCTATATCCTACTTGGTCCATCCCTACGCATATACTAACTACCTTACCCTAGCTCATCACTCTCGCTCTTCAGGTTATGGGCCCTGGGCTGTGACTCACCGAACTCAGACACTATGTAACATTTACAGCATCGACTCACACACATGCGCAGCCAACATGTCTACAGCTACAACTACATCGTTGAGCTACGCAGCCCCTCCAACTTTCCCTGAGGCGGAAAAGTTCGATGGAGCGAACTGGCTCCAATGGAGCAAGGCTATTCTTGTCACCACGAGGCTCCGAGGAGCTTGCAAATACCTCGAAGGCACCATACCAAACCTGGCCGCACACCCACTAGCAGCCCCAATACCACCTTCCCCTTTGACAACCACCCCCGTCGTCACTACCACTACTGCCCCACCACCCACTGCAGCTCCGACACCCTGGACCTACACCTCACCCACAGCCGAGGAATGGAACATACACAATGCCTGGGCAATGGGCCTACTCACTTGGAACGTCAAAAACGCGGTTGGGCTGGGAGTAAAGACTGATGGGACGGCGGCGCAGGCCTGGACCTCTCTCAAGTTGCAGTACAAGACAACCTCAGACCTCGCAGCTGTCCTTGCAGACACGGAACTCCGCCTAATCAAGTTTCATGACAGTGACAATCTCCCAACCCACATCGCCAACCTTTGATCCAAGTGGGCCTACGCCAACTCAGTTGGCATGGAGATCCTCAACAGGGACTTCCATATAATCCTGCTCCAATCCCTGCCACCGACGCCCATCTGGGAGGCGTTCATATTGACACTATACAAGCTCAAGACAGCTGCCGAAGTTATCACCCGGATAACCCTTCACTGGCAGCGTGTCTCACAGAATAGCACAGTCGCCACCCTGAGTGCGCCCACCACAGCGCTCCAGGCTGATGCTAAGCAGAAGAAGCCAGATAAACACTGCACTAACTGCCACAGGAGAGGCCACACCAACGATGTCTGCTACTGGCCTGGGGGGGGAAAGGCAGGCCAATTCCCACCTGGCTTCAGTCAGCGTGGGGGTGCAAGTGGGCCTGCCAGCACCTCTATGCCTTCAGCAGGCACTCCTACAGCAACTGCAAGCACTGCTGTCATCAAGACAGCCTACGCACTAATGGCTATGACCGGGGGATGGGATGAGGGTGGAGGTACCAGAGAGCACGTTGTCTCCTTCATACCGACAGAGGACGAACCTACAGCACTGGTGGCAATGTCCTCAGGAGGGGGCAAATTACTCACATATGTTGATTCTGGTGCAAGCGACCATTGCTTCACAAATAAGATTGATTTCTCCACTTATGAACCATTCCATGAGTTGTGCGAAGGCCAGGCTGCATGCCGAGGGGCAAAGTTCAAAATCCTTGGAAAGGGAACAGTTGAGAAAACTTTTACCTCAGAAGGGTGCAAGACCACAATCACCTTCCATAATGCCCTCCACACACCTGAATTTGCTGCAAACCTCGTCTCTGTGAGCAAATTCGACACTGCCCACTTCAAGGTTGTCTTTGGCGAAGGACATGCCCAATTCATTGACCCCAATGGCAAGGCCTTCATAACAGCTAGCTGTACAAGTGGGATGTACCTTCTCACCCGAGAAATGGACACGAATGCGCTATCTGCGAGGTCTCATGAGAAGCCCACTGGCATTGACACCTGGCATCAACGGTTCTCCCATGCAGGTGTGCCGCTGATAGAAGACATGGCACGGAAGGACCTGGTTGATGGACTGCACATCATGGATGGAGACAGAGCACCTGGGATGTGCGAGGACTGCATATATGGAAAGCAGACCTCAAGGCCCTATGATGAGGACTACATGCCAGAGACAGAGCTCCTTGCCCTAGTCCATGTTGACCTATGGGGACCCACATGAGTACAGTGGTCAACGGGGGGAGCCAGGTACCTCATGGTCTTCACTGATGATGCATCCTCCTTCTGTAAGGCCTACTTCCTCTCTGAGAAATCAGGCGACGCTACCCTCCAGGCTATCAAAGAATACCGGGCAGAGAGCGAACACCAGACAGACAGAAAGCTCAAGAAGCTGCATCTCGACATGGGGAAGGAGTTCCTGAACTGGGCATGTGAGGAGTACTGCAGAGAAGCTGGGATTGTACTCAAATCAACGGCACCATATGCGCATGCCTCAAATGGAGTCTATGAACAAACAAACCACACCGTCATTGAAGGAGTGCGCTGCCTCCTCTGCGACTCCAGACTCCCCCCATCACTCTGGGCCGATGCAGCGGCGATGTCGGTGTACACCAGGAACCTCATACCCTCAAGTCACCACCCTGGAAAGGTGCCTGCAGAGGTCTGGACTGGAAAGCGGCAGGATGTCAGCCACCTACGCCCATTTGGATGCACCGCATATGCCAAAGTACCAAAGGAGGTGAACCCTTCCAAAATCAGCCCTATCTCCATCAAGTACTCACTTATTGGCTACTATGACCGCGATGCATACAAACTTTTCGACCGCCACACAGGAAAGGTCATCAAAAGCCGAGACATCATTTTCGAGGAGGGGACAGGACATCGCACACTACCAGCAGCACCACCCCCCACAGATTCTGATTACATGTATGACATTGTTGCTCCCACACCCATGGATGACACAGAAGCTGGTGACAGGACCCCAGGAAGGGTGGTCTGAGAGGTGTTGCCCGTGGCACCCCAGACTTGCCCAACCGACATCCTTCATGATGCACCGCCCATGCCTATGCAATCCGCAACGCCAGCAGACCCACGCCCTACTGCCACCAACACACTGCCAGTCCCAGACACGGTGCCACGGAGATTGACGCACACCGCACACCCAACAACTGCGATCCTGGAGTCGCGTGAGTCTGAGGAGCGGCTGACTCAGGCAAAATCCGATGGCTTGGATTGGGCAACAGACAGCTCCAAACCACGGACAATGCTTGCCACTGACTTCCCCTCATTCCACACCAAGTTGGATGACTACATGGCAATGCTCGCCTCGTCCTCAGACCACTGCCTCCTGTGAAGCGCTGTTGAAGCACTCTGAGAACCCAACCTATGGCTCAAGCCAATGCAGATAGAGTGGGGGAACATGGACCATCGAGAGGTGTTCACACTCACCGACCAACCCCCCAGCAAAAATGTTATCATGCCACTCTGGACCTTTGGCTTCAAATATGACGCTGAGGGGGAGATCACCAAGCAAAAGGCTCGACTTGTGGCTAAGGAATACACACAAATACCTGGACTCGACTTTGACCAGACGTATGCCTCAGTCGCTCGCCTCAAGTCAATGAGGATGACAGCTGCTGTTATTGCATGCAAGTGTCTCAGTCCATGGCAGATTGACTATGTTGCCACGTATCTCAACAGTGACAACAAGTTCGAAGTGTATATGGAGCAACCCTGGCTGTTCGTAGTATGGGGGAAGGAGCACATGGTGCTGCGAGTCAACAAAACGGTCTATGGGATGATGCAGGGAGCGTACAACTGGGAGGACAAACTGTCAAGAACCTACAAGGGACTTGGATACTATCAATCCCATGCAGACCCCTGCATTCAGCACCGCCTCATCGATGGCCAGTACACCCTCACATGCACGTACACAGATGACGTCCTCGGAGGTTCGTCATCCATCCAGGAGAAGGAGAAGGCCATTGGAGAGATGGAGGAATGCTACAAGGTGAAGAGGATTGAGGGAACTGGGGGAGCAAAAGTCATACTGGGGATGGCAATGACTCAGGACGACAAAACGGGGGCGATTACACTCTCCCAACGGATCTTCACTGAGTGCATGCTTGAATGCTTTGGAATGTCAGACTGCAACATGAAATCAACACCGCTCCCCTGTGGAATCAAGCTCTTGGAGCTCAACACCCCCCGCACAGAAGACAACACACTCTTTATGAAGGACAAGCCATACCGAGAGGCGTTGGGGTGCATCATGTGGCTACAAGTCTGAACCTGACCTGACCTCTCCTTTGCCATCAACCTCCTCTCCCAATACCAGGCAAACCCTGGCCCAACACACTGGAAGGCACTCCAGCATGTACTCGCATATGTCAAGGGCACGCTTCACTACAAAATCACCTATGACCCAAACTCCCCTGACGGTCTCAATGTCTCTGGACATTCAGACTTGGACAATGCCAGCGATCCTGACACAATGTGCTCTACCAGTCACATGGAGCTCGAAGTGACAGGCAACCACCGCTTCCTCTACAACAGAGGCGGAGTACATGGCACTGAACCGTGCCTGCCAACAAGCAGTGTGGATGTGAGAATGGATGAGTGAGGCAGGCCTGGAACAAACATTACCTGCAAAGATCTACGGCGACAACAAAGGCTCTGTCGACCTGGCGAAAAATGTGAAGGGCATCACAAAAGCGAAGCACATCCACATGAAGCACCACTACATTCGTGAACAGGTCAACGAAGGTGATGTGGAGGTCATCAGGATTCCGACAGAGTCAAATGTCACAGATATCTTGATGAAGCCATTACCATGAGCAGCCCATGAGAGGTTCGTACATGCACTACCGCTCAACAGTGCCACCAGCACATAGATTCATGGGAGCTACCTTGTCTGGGGGAGTGTTGAGGGAGACTAGGTACAGCTCCCATTGTCAGCGTGAGAAAATACTTTCACTAGGGTTTACTGGAACTTGCTTTGTTCAGGATATTCCTATCGTTCAATGAGGGAGGTTCCACTAATCAGTTTCGACTAGAATGGTAATATTTGTAGATGGGCCTTAGACAGAAGTATTGTTCTAAGTTCCAAGATATAAGGATGTAATTGAAGAGTATTTGTATAGTCTTCAATTAGTGTAAGTAAAATGTAATATTTCACTTAAGATAGGCATGTAGAATTAATGCCTGGGGATTCAATACTGGACAATAGGTCTTTGATTACCAGGTCGAAATTGGATTCAAACTTCAATTGGTAAGGAGAAGTTTAGATGTTGGAAGGAAGATGACAGATTTGGTGAAGATCTGTTAGAAGAAGATCTTGAAGTTGGTTGCTGTGGACAATGTTGATGTTGTCTGGGATTTGATACTCGACTAATTATTGTCTGGCGATTTCCACAATGACAATAATATCTACTTTGATGTTGAGATAGTGGAATATTTCAGCAAGGTACAGGATGATGACAGTTATGACAGGTAGCGTGGTAGTAGTTGCATTCGCTTTGGCGGTTAATGGAAGTGCGGATAGTTGATTGACATTGAAGACAGGAAGTAGATGACAGAGTGCAATAAGACAGACTGGTGTCTGTCAAGGAAGTTTCGGTGATGATTCAATACTGATGGTCTGCAATTGGTGCAGACTGGTTTACATTGATACAATTGACTGAAGTCAGAATAAGCTTTAAGTAGCTTAGTTTGCAGAGAGATGTCTCTTGATATTGGATAAACTGGGATTGTTATTCTCTTTCTATGGACAATTCGGTCTACTATTTATACTATTTCTAAATGTGGCTGCATAGGTGTGTGAATGTTTCACATTTAAGCCAAGGACTTGTTTTGTGTTTCACATTTTAAGCCGAGGGCTTGTTTTGCACAGCATTGCACAGCATTTTATGTCTTTCGAGTTTCAGATTGAGCCAAGAAGACTCAGTTTGAGGCTCAATATTGGTAAGCACATAGAGTTTATGTTCTTGGCACTTATGCAACAGTGTTTTGGATGTAAAATTTAGTAAGTGTCTGAGTCAGCCTGTAAGAAAGATGACCCAAGCATTGTGAAAGTATAGCAAGTCTTTGGGAGCATCTTTACAATGATGACTAAGCTGTCGTAGACTTGACTAATCCATATGTGTCAGATCACATCCTTTGAAACATGGTCATGTGTCTTTATCGATATATTTTGTGAATTGATTGCAAGCAGCAAATACATTGTTTTAGTCAAAACAATGTTGAAGCCTGACACCATGCACGCCATTGTGGCGGGCTTTCCTTTTCTTTCTTTCCCTCAATGCCTTGGTGCTGCTGTACCTTACACCATCTTCTACCTTATCTACATCCACCTGCAGTCGACTGCTATTTGATTTTACTATTCTTATTTATACCTGACCTGACAGCCCCACCACCTCAGTCATTTACATCGTGCAATGTCTGAGGTGAGCTCTATATCCTACTTGGTCCATCTCTACACATATACTAACTACCTTACCCTAGCTCATCACTCTCGCTCTTCAGGTAGTTATATTCTCAATTATAGTCATTCACATCATGCAACGTCTGAGCTCATCACTCTTGCTCTTCACCTGTTACTCATGATGCTGATCCCAACCCTTTTTTTACATTGAACAGAATTTTTCTTAATCACATTGAAGTTGAGCAGCCCAACAGTCCACTCTCACCCGATCAATTGGAGAATCTTTGCCATGAGCTCCAGCAGCTCCTGTTTTTCCAGTCTTGTAACATGGACAATTTTTGTTTGCTTTGGATTTCGGCTTTACAGATTTGTAACGATATCTGCAACCCTGCTTGACGCTGATAACATGGACATTTAGCTAGCCCGTAGTTGTGGTTACTTTTGATAGACATGTTCTGGAGGATGATTTCAAGTACCTCCAATATACAAAATGGAACTTGCAGTGCCTACAAAATCAGACTAGGCCAGGTACGGAATTAACAAAAGCTCAAAACACCAGGGGTTTGCCGAGAGGAACAACAAGAGAGCTTTACAGACAGTTAGTAGCACAGCCACTCCCACATTCTCAATCATGTTGGCTTCTCAACTACGTACCTCGATCATCCTTGCTTCGCCTTCAAATCACCCAAACTGCCTGCTCTCTCAATGGCTGGTTTTTGAAGAACTTAGAATGCTGCATCATGGACCAAATTCATGGTAAGTTGAAGCCCATGTTTTTGCTATCCTTGCAAGCAAGAACACAGGCACTGGACTCAAACCTGGGACCGCGCCTGTAATAGCATTCACGCCTGTTGCCTCCATGGCTAATTAAGCCCTTATCTGTTCTGCTGAAACTAATATCCTGTTTCCTTTGCATTAGACCCTTGGTGGGGGTGCCTTCACATGGCACCCCCGCATTTCTTTCACTCTTGGTCATTTATAGGTGGATAGTTGAAGCATTCAGAATGTTGAGCACTGCAAGGGCTGATGAGGGTGAGTCCACAGCTGCAACAATGCACTGTAAATGCTGATCTTAATGTCCAGGCAATCAAACTCATCAGCCATGTTGCCACCTTTTGCCTAATCACATTGTCAGAGGTGAAGAACTCAGAGAGGAAATGGACAA